CCCCCCCACCCAAACCCCAAACTCAGCAAATCTGAAATATAATGCACACACCCTGCTTGTTCCCCTCTCTTTTTGTCGGTTTCCGCCGCTCTCCCTTCCTCTTCTTTTGATGCCCGGTGCTTGCCACTGTGTACCAAGTATCAGCTCATGGACGCGCAGAAAACCTGCAATGTGGAGAAGCCAAGATGTACCAGTCGAACCACCCCTCTTCAAACCCACTAACACCGGACGTTGGCCAGAGATAACAGAGGTACACTTGCAGGCTTGCAAGTCGTGCTTCCGTCGCTGCCTGAGAGACCAACTTACCATCATATTAAGTCCACGGAGTGTCCCTTCTCCTGTCCCTTCCCGACAACTCTTGTTGATGGCCTTTCTTGGGCACAGCGGATACGCCGGGCACAACAAGGGCTTTTTTTTTTTTTTTTTTGAAAGCAACAAGGGCTTTATCAAGCAGTGAGACGTTTTTTTTTTTTTTGGGAACAAGGCTCCAATCTATTCGTGGGGAGCAGCATGTGCTGGGAACCGGGCCCAGCGTCCCATATGGAAATTTACATCGAATTTTGAAAGTTTGAGATACCGGCGCCATTACCTGGGGCTTTGGCTAAGAAAAATTGGAGCTACTTAGGAAATTACTACGACAAACTTCAGAACTTCAGAATTGGGCAAAATTCAGACACGACTCAGAAGCCCCCCATCAATCCTAACAGAGCTATTATATTGCAAGCCGTGCTTTCGTTGTTGTCGGACGCCAACTTACCATCATATAAGTCCACGCCGTGTCCGTCCCATCTCAACAACTCTTGATGACAGTCTTTCTTGGCCACAGCGCATGCGTGCAACACAAGGGGTTATCAAGCAGATAACGAACCCTATGATATGACTCAGTTCGTTGCAAACGAAGTGAGGAAGAATGTCGAAGACCCTCTCTCTCTCTCTCTCCTTGAGAGATAGGAGGCACAAGTGCACGTCAAGTCGACCAATCAACGCTCCTTCACTTCGATTCCTTCCTTCCCCGCAATTATAACGGCAGTTGCCATGTCCAGAAACAGACCGTGATCAACCACCCCTTCCAACGATGAGATTGCCTTCGCTGCAGCTTGAGCGTCCTTGATCGGAGTCTGATGTGCAAACACCCCAAAACGAAGAGAGAGAACGTTTCAGACATCAGCCCCGAAACAGGGGAGAGAGAGAGAGAGAGAGAGAGAGAGAGAGAGAGAGAGAGAGAGAGAGAGAGAGAGAGAGAGAGAGAGAGAGAGAG